CAGAGAGGTTTTGGATGGAAGAATCAGGAGGAGGCACAGATCAACTTGCAGAATTACAGAATTAGGAGCCCAAATTTTACGCCAATTGATCTATTCCCCTCTTTTTGTTTCTTGGGGCATCTTTCCTTTTTTTTTTTTTTTTTTTTTTTTGATCCCTCCCTAGCTTTTTATGCGCATAATCAATTGTACCCACTCCCTAAGTAACAGGGGAGCAGTGACCAAGTAATGAATGCACCGAGCCATCATCGCCAACTACCATCATGTCCTGCTCTCCGTCATTTATCACCCTTATTGATTTTTTGTTGTTTTTAATCTGTCTCTGTCGCTTGGCCTGAGTTGGGAGTGGAGTCTCTGTGGGGTGCTGGCCACGCACCCACAGAGAAATAAAAGGAATTGAGAAGGCCGCTGCCCGGCCTGGCTTCTGAGGACAGTGGCTGGTCCCCAGGAGTTCTGAGGAGTGGAGGGGGCGTGGGACAGTGTCCCCTCAGGTGTTAGGAAGGTGCTCGGAGGCCACAAAGATGGGGCCCCCATCTGGCTACTGCCAGTTGGGGGGGAAGGGAATGTAGATGTGAGAATAGACAGGTACCATCAGGCTGGAGCAAGTGGCTGCCTTCTGAGTACTTGGGGGGTCCTCCCCTGTCCCTTAGTGTCATCTTGCCCACTTCTCAGCACCCCACCTTGTCCCCAGGAGGTCTGGAGCTCTACAGACCTCCTGTGGGCAGGGTGGGGTGAGGCCTGGAGTTGGGGAAGCTAGGAGGCTTAAAGCCTGCAGAGCCAGGAGAGCTGTGTACATGGGGTCACCTGGACCCCGAGGCCCGAGGGTCTGGCAAGCCGTTGCAGCCACCCCACGGTGCCTAAGACTGTGGCAGGGACCAGGGCGGCTGGAGGTTTACCTCACCCCCACTTCTGCTTCCAGTGCAGTCCCCCTGCCCAACAGTCCACTAGTAGTCTAGAGGCCTGAGGCTTCTGGGCCCAGGTGACAGGACTGGCACCACCCTTGGGGGCGGTGTGTGTCAGCCCGACTATGGCACAGAGGGTTCCTCAGCAAGTGCCTGAAGAATGGGCCATTTGGAACATTGGACAGAAACTAAAAGAGTAAATTGTTATAATTGGAGAATGTGAATTGGCTTGATACCCAAAAGATTTTGAGGCACCCTAAATTACCTGCCCATTTGGCTGGAACCCACCCATCCAGTGTTACTTTGCCTCGCCAGGATGGGTGCTTTCAGAGGCATTTGCTGACCACCCTCTGTGTCCCCAAATTTGCAGTTCTCCCCACATAGATCATCTTGATGCAGGCACCTACCTGACCTCCCATGCCTAGTGTGGCCCTCCATCTTGTCTCTTCCCTATTGTCTTCGGCGGGATCCCCTCTTGGGTCCCTCCCTTTGTCATCACATGAAGACTACCCACGCGTCGAATGCCATATGTCACCTGTGCCACTGTCTTTGTCATCTTAGCAGTGCCCAAGGTGTTTGCCTCAACTCAGTCCCTTTAACATGCTATTTCTGGCAAAATCCAGTGCTTGGGTTTTGTTTTTAACCTGTTATCGCTTGCAAGCCTAATAAAGCATTTAAAATTCTATTTTCTGAGTTCTTTGCTATTTTATTTGGGGGTCAATAGTGGGGAAAGATGGGTGGGAAGGAGGGGAAGAGGGGTGCCTGGTGCCTGGGAAGTGACAGGTGAAGAGGACAGCCTTTGAAATATACATCCTTCCAGGTCTCAGGAAGTGGGCTCAGTGAGGCACTCTCTGAGGAACCCAGAGGGTTGGGGATAACTGTAGGCCCCAAATCCTCAAAGATGGGGTGCTGGGTGGCTAGAGGGATCCCATGATGCTTTTCTAATGGGTCATGTGCCATGAATACACATCCCGGGGATCATTGCCCTTAGCTTTGGGGGGTGAGGGTTGGAGGCCAGGATACTTCAGGAACCCTAGTTAGTGTTGGACATGAGGAATCAGGGTGACAAACACCTGGGATGGGTTCCCTGCAAATGTAGTCACCTCCACTGTTCCCTCTCTGAAGGCTATGCTGGAGCCTGTCAGTAGTCAATTAGATAGATCTGTCCAGTGGTGATGGTCTTTGGGGTCCCTGACCCTGGAAGAAAAGTGAGGCCATCCCCTAGGTGCTTGAAGCCTGGCTTGGATATCTTCTTTCTGCTTCATTCTTCCTTAGCCCCTCCCCCAACTTTTCTGAAGGCAAGTGGGCATCTGCCCTTCCCCCATATGGGAGGGAAACTGGGGCAGGTGGTGAGGCCCTGTGCTAGGGACCCTGCCCCTTTTCCAGTCTTTTCCTCATACCACATTTCTTTTTATTGTTTGGCTAGTTTTTTGAAATAGTCTCACACTCTACTCCAGGCAAGCTTGGAAAAACTGCATATGGATGTCCATGCTGGTCTAAAACTCATAGCAATCCCAATCTTCCTACCTTAGTCCCCCAAGTGCCGAAATTATAGGTGTGAGACAGCATATCAGTTAGCATTAGTTTTTAGTTTTGTTTCCACTACAGGGTCTTTTGCTGGCCATGCTGTTGGGTGTGGCCTCTGGAGGTCTGCAGGGGTATCTCCAGAGCAGCATACATATCCAAGAGCTGCTTCTAAACTCAGGGTGTACAGTGGTCATGGAGGACTGCTTGGAAGAAGCAAGCTCATCCTTGAAGAGGAAAACTAGACAGCAGCAAGAGGGAAATAAAGGGGAAATAAAGGCTTCAGAGACATCCCTGGCTTGACAGAGTTGAGGCTAGGATGGGACCTGGATCTGAACTCCACACTATGGGCAGACCACCTCCCCAGCCAGTGAGTCGTCTGAAAGCCTTCAGTGTCTGCTGTGGCTCAAGGAAGGCCCAGAGCTGCCTGCTCCCCTAAGGCTGATGCACTGTGTTCCTACCCATGAGCCCCTGAAAACCCACTGTGGGTTGTCCACTCTCTGTCAACTCTACAGTGACTTAGGCCCCTATGGAGCTGGCATTAGGGTATCCAGGCTCCAGACTCTCACCCTCCTTTCCGAGGCTGGTCCCCTTCTGACTTGTTAGCCAAGATCACCCAAACCTGGAGTTATTGGCACCTCCTGCTGTCTCCATTTGTCCCTTGCTGCACCCTAGAGCTCCTAGGGTGGCTTCTCATTCCACTGTGGTTGGTCTCCACTCTCGCAGCAGTGGATACCTGCCTTCCCTGGTACCTACCAGACACCCTGACATTCTCTGACCTCCCTGAAGTCCTGGGTATGGTCAACTAACCCAGACCTTTTGGATTAGTCCTTACCTCTCAGAAACCCCTCTAGGGCTGCCTCACCCCCAGGACAGTCTTGGGCTCTCTTTTCTCTCCTTTCTGTTTGTCAAAGTTCTTCACATCAAAGATCCAGTGATCTGTCTGTCTCTGTCTGCCCACATTTCTAGCTCCCATTCATCCATCCTCTTGTCTATCCATCCTCCAATCAATCACCCATCCATCTACCCTCCCACTCATCAATTCCATACATATATCCACATATCTACCAAATC